ATTTATTATTTTCATTTTATGTGTATGAGTGTATTGCTTGCATGTATGTGAGTGGACCGTGTTGTGCAATGCCATGGAGGTCAGAAGAGGGCTTGGGATTCCCCTGGAACTGGAGTGAAAGACAGTTCATAGCCTCCATGTGTGTGCTGAGAATCAAACCCGGGTCCTCTGCAAGAGCAGTCAGTGCTCTTAACCGCTGAGCCATCTCTCCCGCCCCATCACATCCTATATATTTAATGGTCCTCTAAGCAAAATATGTGTCTCAATCTTCATATAATAATCAATGTAATGAAAACAATAGTGAATAAATGTTGCATGCATCTAGAACTAGTTTATTTTCTCCTAAACTTTTATGAGACCCTAATACATTTTAGGGGATTATCCAGCTGCAAATTAATCAAATTAAATTCAATTGCCATATCTTTTCCTCAGATAGTGAGAGTCTTGTGAGCTTGAAAATGAAAATATTTGCCATTTTTGAGGTGTACTTAAGCTTAACTTTTCTCTAATCCAAAAACTTGTTTCAAAATTGCCATAGAAGCACCTCATCATTAGTAGTATTTTCTTTTCTCATTCTTCATTATACAAGATTCCCATTCTCTGAAAATGTTTCTATTCTTGAGCACAACCACATTTAAACAGGCATTATATTAAAACAAAGAGACTCTGACTAACACTTATTGTTGTCTCACATCTATAATGGAATCAAAGCACATCCCCTATTTAATAAGGATATGTTAAAGCACTAATATCTTTCAATAAACATGAAAACACCAAGACAAGACCAATGAGGTCTTGTGCTCACTGTCTCACTCTGCTCTGTCTGAAACAAATTCCAGAGCACAAAAGCCAAACAATGTCAGCCATACTAAATAGCAGGTATCAGAGGCCAGTACAGAACCACGGTGTCAAGGCTTGACTTACAGACACCAGAAAAACAGGAAAAATGTCTAAAACCGACTGTACTACAACTTTTCCTTCCTTCACATTTTTTTCCTACATTTACTCTGAGTTCTGTAGTATAGTAGACCTTTTCAGCATTCTTTAGAAGCACAGTCTCTCCTGTCCTGAGAAAAATATCATATAATCTAATTTATTTATGTGGGCTGGAGATGTAGCTCAGCAATAGAAAGTCTGCCCAGCATGTCCAAGCATATTCAGTCTCCAGGGCAGAAAAAAAAACTAACGACAACAAAAACAAACCCTATTTCACTATATGTTAGGGATCCAAAGGATCACCTCCCCTGGCAAACTGTGCTTTTAAATGAGGGGGGACAATACAGCACCATATTGACATTATCAGTGATAGATTTAAAGCTCCTTCTGTCCCCATTCAAAACCACTTCATTGCCTGGTTTTCTCCTGTTTTTCACACAAGTTTAAGCTCAGTTGGCAGCAAGAAATTTCCATACCCAGAAGAAAACTTATTCTCATCAACTACAATAATGTTCTTTGGTTGCAGATGTGGCCAAATCATAGAGTAAGAAACAGCCATAGACTTTTTTTAAAAAGCATTTTCTGCGGACACCGACAACACAGTGGGCCTTAACAGGGATGACAGAGTATATGGACTCCAGTGGGGGTACTATGGGAGGCTGTTGATGGGGACAGGGATATAAAAATAATGCCTAGCTAGTTTGGGAAAAAAAAAAGGGAACCATACTAGTCCAACAATCTACTGACAAATTACACATACAACTAGCTCAAGGAACATAATATATGTCTGGTTGAGGTTTACCAGAGAACATTTGATTTTTGCCTAAGCTTTATTTACACAGCACATGGTAATTAAAAGTACCAGACTGGTGGAACTAACCTTCTTGGATGTTTAACAGCCATACTTTGAGGCCTATACTAATCTCGTCAGAGGGACTTAAAGGACAGTTTTTGCTCCTTTCCCTCCTAGGTCGACTAAGTTCCAGGGGACTATGTAGCATCTCTCAAAATGTCCGGTAACTGTGGTGAGTCACTGTCCTCTTGCTCAAGGAGGCTATGGAGATCCCACCAGATGGACTTGAACCAGTGTCCAGCCTACAAAGAAGAGGGTCAATACAGAGGAAACACTTCTTCCATGCTTCCAAGTGAAGCCAGCCATGGTCGAGCAGGGCCTTTGATTTATCTTCACACAGACAGAACTGGTAAAAGGAGCCAGGGGCTCCTCTCAAGCCCATGTGACCCCTGAGGAACAGATCTTCAAATGACCTTAAGAGTAAAAATTAATTGGTTAATCTGGGCCAACTGTACGGTCTTAAACACCCAAAAGGAAAGTATAACCATAGATTAAAGTGATCAGTATAATTCTTTGAGTCCATGTGTATCACTAAAGGCTACATAACAAGAAACAATGCCAGACAGGAGATACCTTCGAGTTACTGGCCAGAGTGGCCCAAGAGGCTCCCAGACAGTAACCCAGTATAAAAATGGGAAAATGTAGAGGAGACCCCAGTATTATCTAAAGGAATGTTGGCAACTGATTTCTGCTAAATGAGGAAGGGCTGATCTTCCTAAAACAAGGAACTCCAGATAGGGTGACTAGACTCAGCGGATGGACTTGCACTGAGTAACAGCTGGGGGCACTGATAACACAGTGGGCAGTAACAGGGATGACAGAGTATATGGGCACCAGTCGGGGGGGGCTATGAGAGGGTGCCATTTGGGATGCGAGTACAAAGATAAGATTATTTGGGTTGTTCTGTATGAGATACCCACAAAAAAAGTGTTTTTTAAATGATTAAGATTGATTGAGATGTGTATGAAATACACAAAAATTCAATAAAAACATTTTTTAAAGAAGCATTATAAAGTGGCAATTCAGACAAGATCATTTGTGAAATTCAAGTTAAAATCCATATTTCTCAAATTATCCAACATCTGAAGAAAATGATACTTTGCATTATCTCCAGCTATTCCTGCATTCATTTACACTTGGTCATAACCACTCTTTATCCATGAAAAACCGTGGTTATTCAGACCCTCTTTTATATCTACACACCCTTCAAGACTAAAGCTAAGCCAAATGACCTTCAGGAAGATTAAAATATATGCCTACTATTCTATTTATGAATATTCATTTCTGCTAAAGAAGACAAACAGAATGACTGATAACATAGATATAGAAATGGGTCACTTGAGAAACATCTTAAAAAGTGGGCACTGTGGCTCCACTAAGTAGGAAGAAAGAGGAAACCCAAGCAAGCATCAAATAGTCTTTAAGTTCATAGTGAACCCATAATGATGGGGGACTCAAGTTCACAGAGTCGTAAATAGGCCTTCTAACTGTGGCGTTCATTCTGTCCTATGTGTATTAGCTTCCATCATTCAATATCATTGCTTATACTTGACTTTGAACCTCTCAAGCACACTGCCAATAGAAAAGGAAAACAACCCACAGGTCATAGGAACATTGTGTACCATAGGATCTGGGTCAAGTGGTCTTCCTGCCCATTTGCAACCTACCTTAGAATACTCGGGAACTATGCAGTAGATCCTTCTTCTTTGATGTTTCAAATTGACTCGATAAGCCATGTGACATGCCCTTTGTGTTTCAGTTTGATCTCTGAGCCTTTCTGTGCCTTTCTGTCTGGAACAGCCTTCCTAGGAAGGTCATCATTGCACTAAGGTAATACCTTAATGCACGAAGTCATCCTGATCACCTTAGTTCAGGCTCAGTGTTCTTCCTTGGTACTCTTTGCAAATTATATATACATATATATATAATAACTTTTAGATTTCATCATTAACATGAATCACATTTTCCACTGTTCTGTAATTTCTTTGATGTCACAGTCTAAATCTTCTGAGAGTACCTAACAGTAAGAGACATCAACATATCGTTTTGTTTGGTTACACAAAAAAACAACACATGCAAGGCAGTTAATTGGTACCAATTATAACTAGAATTTAGGTCTTAGAATGCACCATTAGGAGAATCAGCTGACGTTGTCTCAGGTTCTCCTACATAGTAGATGAGAACAAGGCTCATCAATGGCAGTTCTGTTTCTAAAATAACTGCAAGGGGAAGTCAAAGATACTGAGCATCACTAACTTCTGGGAAAAAACACCCAGTTTGGTTTTCATAGTGTAGGTCAAAAGGAAAACAAGTAATGACCTTAGGAGTCTAAGCAACTACTGTAGGCTTTCCGCAATTATATCATGGTTAATAGCATTTTTCATGGAGTAATGACATCAGTATTCCCTCAAATGAGATGTACGCTGAAGTCCAGTAATGACAGCACATTACCATCTTCATCCTAATTTGGAGAACCCATGCCCAAGAGATGAACATCATACTAAATGAAAAGTTTCATGGCCTTTTTAACCTGTCTTTACTTTATTACTATGGTGTGGTCAACAATGAAGGGATGTAATGTCTACAGCAAGGAATAGGCAATTGCTTGAAAAAAAAAATGCTTTTGAACAGATACAGATGTAAGTAATGGTGGTGTTTTTCTATTATTCACAGTGTATTGATTTCCGTCTTCTTCTTTTCCAGGGCTTTTGCATTCTCCCTCCCCATAAGAAGCTTCCTTCTGTTGCTATCATTCTGTTTCTTGTCCATTCGCCCTTTCAGTCTCTCTGGATCATGTGCCATTTATATCCATATCCTCCTTGTTTTTATTTTCTCTCCCTCTTCTCTTTTTTTAAAATCCGGGTCTTTGGTTCATCACTCAGTGCCTACTCAGGGAATGTGATTGGGGTGTATCTGCACAAAAACACAAATGTAAAGCAAGAGTTTAGCCAACCACAACTGACTCAGCTGGAAACCCCAGCCCCACTGTAATAGCAATGACCACAGTGATGCAATTCTTACAGAAAAATAATCAAGGCCCAGTCATTGTAGCTTGGAAAGTAAACAAATGTCGTAGAACTTTTTAAAGGGGGCTGGAGAGTTGGCTTGGCAGTTAACAGCACTGGATACTCTTGCAAAGGACCCAGGTTTGATTCTTGGCACCCACATGGCAGATAAAAACCTTCTGTAACTCCAGTTCCAGGGGATCCAACGCCATCTTCTGACCGCAGGGACACTGCAGTGCACATGGGTGCACTTACACTCATGTAGACAACACGCACATGAAATAAAAAAAATAAAAAATATATATTAAAAATACTTTTTAAAGTTGAGTTTTCCCTCTGTGTAGCCAAAGGTTGCCTTAAACTTGTCTCTGCTTCCTGAGTACGGGGATTATGGGTGTTTGCCATTTATCTGGTCTTAAACCCTTCTGAGAGGAGGAAGTGGATGAAAAGAAGCGTATTTTAAATAAGCATTGTCTCTAACAATTCTGAGGAAGTGCTGAGAGTATCTTAGCTATCTCTGGGAAATAATTTTCTTTGCCTATCACAAATTCAACCATATTTAGTAAACTATAAAAATAGTTTCCATGTAACTTGCTATATAAAGACATCCTAAATACTCAAAGTAGAAATTCAGCCAAACAGGGAAAAGTTGGTGGAGACATTGTCTCACTACATAGCTGTGACTGTCCTAACATTGACTATATCATCCACATTGGCTATTCACTCTAGGCAATCCTCCTGCCTCAGCCCTGTGAGTGCTGGATTATAAGCATGCACAAATACACACAGCCAAGAATTTTGAAATGCTCATATAATTCTTAAAAAGTGTTTTTCATTGCCAAACATGGTCTATGATTAAAGAATTAAAAGATAGGGCAGCAAGAGTTTTGCATAAATTCTGTTACGTATAAACACTTTCTTAATTACAACACTAATGGTTTCAAGTTTGTCATAAATATATACATTTCTCTACATTGCGCAATACGGGGAAAAGATAAAGCATCTTCAAAACATTTAAGCTTGAATACCAACTCATGCGTATATTTTTTAAAATTAATAAAAGTGACAGACAGCAACTAGTCATTTCCAAAATGACATTCATTAATCGTATGATATTTTTTGCTAGTTTGTTACTCTTCTTAAAGCGTCTTTAAAGCAACATTCCTAGGAAATTGTGTCCTCTTGTGGTCATTGGCAAAAACAACATGTTTTCTGCAGGAAGACCCAAATCAAACAATGAGAAAAGAGGATCTAAGGTGTCAGGAAAAGTCATCTGTGAAGAAAGGGACAACCCCGAGGGAAGAGTGGTGAACATTACAAATAATCAGAAAGGACAAATAACCTGGAAATGCAGTGTGAAGTGTTCAGTTTCTACTTAAATTACTGATCATCAGATGGCTAAAAAGCAATAGGATTATGTGGCAGGACAGTGATTGTGTTAAAAAATCTGAGTAGTGGAGTATTCCTTAGGCTTTTTCTTCAGTTATCAGAGCAACTCTGAAATTACTTGTGAATGTGTATTTCAATCAGGTCAACTGGCAGTGAGATGGGATCCCAACTCTCCAAGCTGTACACTTACCATAGCTCTAAAAAGAATAAATGAAAAATAAGGGAAATTTCAAGGCCCTACGTATTTCTTGGCCTTGGCCTTCCTCTTTCTACAGGATATACACCTCTTAAGCCCATCCTCATTTCAAAGACACAATGTCCAATATTTTAATGGCTAACATTTATTTGAAGTTTTTATTTGCTCATTTGAGGAACTCTGAATCCCTTCAATTTCTCCCGATTTAATTTTTTTTCATTTTCTTTCTGGATTGAAGGTTTTAAACTTTAGAACTTCAGTTCATTATTCTTAAGGAAATTCAGAAAGATAAAAGTAGAAGCAATTAAGTTCATGAACTAGGCCATCATTAACAGGAATACAGGCTCAAACATCACTAAAGCTATCTGCATAACCAAAGAATTTGGTTTGACACATTTGATTAGAGTCACTGGTGTTGCTACAAACATTGTATTACACTTCAATAAAACTATCTCATTGAAATATCAAACTGGGTGACCCCTGTAGAGTATCCAAAATTAGACGAAATCTAAGCTGCACAGCCTCACCTATGATCTACTCAGTTTGCGCTGCGCCCCCTTCTGCAGGAGCGCTCCTAAGATTCATCTAAACAATTCAAAGGAATCAGTTCATAGACAGAACTTCAAACCTACAAACAGGTGATGTGCCATCTGAAGACCAAGGAGAAAGGCACAGAGACAGAATGAAGTACTCACCCTCCTGCAAACTCAACTCTAAAATTTACCAACTTGCAACAATTTTGCAGTGTATTTCTTTTTCTTATCTAAAAGAAATGCTAAAATACCAGTGCCCATTGAAGTCCTAAGGATAATTACATAGATAGTGTGTGCTCAGATTGAGATTTCTAACTCTTCTAACACTATTTTCTCTCATTTTTTAGAAAAAAACAGAGAACACATTCCTCAGGAAGAACTGTAAGCATGCCAAGTTTGCAGTTTAAAAACATAGCTTGTTTTGAATTATCCAAGTGCAGAAGAAAATCTTTGTTGTTGTTTTCAGCTAACATTTTTTTCAGAGACCCTTCTTATTTTAGAAGTAGGCAAAATGATTGGATGCTGATTAATCTTTCATTCCCAAAGAAAGCAGTCTCCAGCAGACATCCTTCCAGTCAGATTGAGAGAAGCCTTAAAGGAAAACTTGTAAAACTGTTCCTAAAAGGCCAAAATTGGTATTTGAGAATGAAGGAAAAACTGGGAATCCCACTGCATAGATGGAATATCCAGAATTATATCTACCCTGTCAACGCAGACAAAGAGGCCCATTGGTGCCCAACAAGGGCAGAAAAGAAAATCATTAAGAAAATGTCAAAAGGACCTGCACATGGGCAGACTGGGGAACCCATGTCCTCTTGTCACAATTTGCACAGCATGTATGAAGTCCTGGATGATTCCAGGACATGATTCACCTAGCAAGCTCGAAATGCAAATTCCAGCCCTACTTAAAGAGTCGCTTCATCCTCCACCCCTCAGAAGAGAGGAATTTTTGCTCAGAAAATAATCCGTTGTGACCCGGTTCGAAATATTCCATTCATTCATTTTAAACTCTCTCCTAAGCATTCTGGCACCAGGAACTTGGCCTCCGTTGTGTTCCAGCAGCACAGAAAGGCCAGGCGCTTTCTGCTTCTGCCACTTGCTGCAATGGTAGAACTTTCTAATGGCCCCCGGTTATCCTCCACTTCCCCCCTCTCAGGTTCAGTTTCCTTTTCTCTTCCTTGTCTTCCTTACCCATGCCCAGGAAGGAGGGGGTCTTAACATTCGATTTCTTTTTAATTTTTGATACTCAGCTAAAAACAAAAATGATTTTTGAGGTTAATGTTAACGGGAAAAAAACAAGATAGCTAAAATGGATTTTTTTTAAGATATCCAAAGTCTTTTAAAAACGTAATTGCTATGTGCTCTGAAATTCACATTTACAAAACAGACCTTTTGGTAAAGAATGACCAGAATTTCTGCCATGTTTTGTTTCCAAGAGATACATTCTTGTCAGTGAAGATGCAAATACAAGTGTGTAGGGTGACTTTATTTTGAGAAGAATTGGCTACGTGCTATTAAAATTAAGTGCAGGTCAAGTCGAATCTGATTTTCAGCCAGACTGTCATTTTAAAATATGGCAGCGGCGGGTGAGACAGGCCAGTTGGCACGCTGTGGTCATTTGTTTCTCAATATCTCTAAAAACAGTGCAGGACAACCTCATGGGGTCTCCCCTCCCTTAACAGCATAGCCCTATTTACTCTTCTCAAATGAGGTAACTCTTGCCTTCACATTCCCACAAAGGCGGAGCCCTAGGACCAGTCCAAGGCACTCCATATCCCAGTGTTTCCGGGACCCAGTTGAGAGCTTCAGAGGAGCACAGCCACGTGGCCTGCCCGTGCGAAGCCAGGGCTCCCTCCTCCTTCTTCTGGTCCAGCCCAGAAAGGGGCATTTGCTGAGCTAGCGGTTCCTGGGGGTTGCAACCGGGACTGAGGACCGTGAGGTGGGCAAGTACCTCTGCCCGGGAAGGGAACACCAGAGCTAGGCACACACAATGCAGCGCCTGCAGACTCTGCCCTGAACTCTCACTGCTGCCTTCGGCCCTGAGTTTGCCCTTGTTAAGTAGGGGCTTACCATGAACCGGCTACCTGACCCACAACTCAAGTTTGAATACTACAAGCGCAGGCTTCTCTCCCAAAGCCGCTTCCCCGTCCCTCTTTTCTTCGTTGCTTCCAGCTCACGGGACTCTGTATTAATGCCCTCTTTAGGTCTCCGGGATTCCGTGTATTGGATAGAATTGCTTCCATGTACACGTCTGAGTTCTGGGAATGTGTTTGGGGCGCTCCTATCGTAATTACCCGTGCTACCTCCTAGGAAAGGGCCCTGGGATGCACTTGGAACACAGATCCCTGAAAATGCTGCCTCTGTTGAGCCTCCGCATCACCCTTTTATGAACGCGGGGCCTAATTTTGGGGTGAAGGGGATGAAGGCTAGCAGCGTGGAGAACGTGGGCCACCGAGAAGGCTGTTCTCCCCTTGCCTGGCTTTGCGCCCTTCCCCTGGGACAAGGCTTTTCTCAGGACAAGAATGAGCTTCTGCCTCCTTTTAGCACCTTCGGATGCAATCTTTTGAGAGTAGCAAACTTTAGATTGGGTCACTGTAGCGGGAATGGAGGGTCCAGATGCTTCTCGCTGAGTGGTGAGACCGCAGAACGGAACACAGATCCACAGTTCCCACGGCGTAGCCACGTCTTCAGACCGCCCCGGCGAATCCCTGGGGATCCAGGGCTTTCTCTACCTGACCTTTGGGTGGGCTCCGCGTCTAACACTTTGTTACCACTCATCCCCCCCCCTCCCGCCCCCCAAACAGGTCTGCACCACAGCCATCCCCAATCCGCCCTAGGACTCCGAGGGATCTTGGGCGGGATGAGACATCACCCAGTGAGTCGAAGCTGTGGCCACCGCTGCTGTCACAGCCATTCGGTAGAGGCCGTCCTCTCCGGCTGTTTGGTGGTGCCGCGCTCGGGTGCTGGGGCGCGGGGCGCGCGGAAGGAAATGGGCCCACGCTGGGCCCGGAACGAAGGGGAGGGCGGGGCGGCGAGAGGCCGCCAGGGCCAGGTCAGTTTGCAATGGTTTGGGAGAACGAATTGTTAGACCCCAGGAAGGGGTGGGGGGGAGGGCAGGCACGGGGGAGGGGGCTGGAAAGCGGAAACTTTCCTATGAAACTTGGAAAAGTCCCTCCTCCCCACGTCAGGCCAATGACACCGCTGCCCCCAAACTCTCCGCCTGCACGCAGCTATAAGAGCCTTCCCGTCAGCAGCCTGCGCCCAGCATCCAGACACCTCGCGGGCTCGCCGGCACCGGCTCCCGGAGGCGAGC